TTGCTCTCCTTATCTGAGGAAGGCTGTTTTTGTTGTAGAGGGAGTTCGTCGAAAGTTTACCAGACTAATTCCTGGGATGGCAGGGCTGACGTAAGAGGAGAGGTTAAATCGTTTATATTAATTAGATTATATTCACTGGAGTTCAGGAGAATGGTGGGAGGGAGTGGGGTGGTAAGTGGGTGAATCTCATAGAAAATTATGATATTCCAGCAGGAGGGAGACATGTTCCCAATGAAGGGAGATTCCAGAACCAGGGGACCAGTTTAAAGTTATGGGGTAAATCATTTAGGACTGAGATGAGAAGGAATTTCTTCACCCAGAGAGTGGGGAGCCTGTGGAATTCACTACAACAGAAAGCAATCAAGTCCAAAACATTGTATGATTTCAAGAAGGAGTTGGATATAGCAGGAGGAGCTAAAGGGATGAAAAGAAATGGGGATAAAGCAGGAACACGCTATGATCATAATGAATGGCAGAGCAAGCTCGAAGGGCTGAATGGCCTACTATTGCTCCTATGTTTCTATATTTCTCCCTCAATCACTGAAATAGATGGCTTACTCATTTATGTTATCGCTGTTGTGAGAGCTTGCTGTGTGCCAATCCACTGTCATTATCCTGCGTTACAACTGTGGGTGTGTTTCAGAAGTACTTAATTGGTTGCGAAGTGCTTTGGGACACCAGGAGGTTGCTACATTAATGCATCTTTACTACATTCATTCTAATCCATCAATTATTAAATTCTCATAACTCCTATTAATTTGCATCAAATGATTTGCAACTATGACAGATGTTAACACTTTGCTTGATGATTTACTCATCAAAGAGGTAAAGGTGCCAAAAAAAACCATTTTCAAGCTACCATAAGAACAGAAGTGCCTCGACTTTTAGAATTCCTACTGTAGCCTTCTTTCTTTCATCTCTCCTCCAATATTAAAGCCCCCTACCCTCTTCCAATTCTCACTCCTTGCATTTTTTCCACCTCACCATTGGCCTGTAGCTGTGCGGGCCTTAAACACTTTACTCCATCCATTGACTCCATCTATACTTCCTGCTGCCTTGGGAAAACAAGCAACATAATCAAAGACCCCTTCCACTCTGGTTATACTCTCTTCCAACCACTTCCATCAGGCAGAATGTATAAAAGTTTATGTACACGTATGAACAGATTCAAGAACAGCTTCTTCCCTTCATTCTCTGAATGGACCTCTCAAATTTTATATTTAATGTTGATCTTGCTTTTTGTGCATCTTCTGTGTAGCTGTAGCATTGTATTCTTTGCTGTGTTCAATTACCCTAATGCACTTTGACTGTACTGCACACAAATCAAATTTTTCACTGTACCTAGGTAAATATGACAGTAATAAATCAAATCAAATCAAGTCTTGAGCTTACTTCCTCAAGTTTTTTTGTTTCACCACCTCTCTCTCTCTCTCTATCCTCCTCCTTTATGATAGTTGGATTGAGGATCTGTGTTGGACCAAAGGGTCTGTTTCCATGCTGTACAGCTCTATGACTTTATAGAAGCAAAGGAATAGTCACCATAGTCCCAGAGGACAGCTTTCTCATAAAAATCAAGAGAGAGAGATAGACAACTGGAGGAGGATCACCCCACCTCAGGTGAAGGGGACAGGTTGAGAAGAAGAGTCCTTCCTGGTAACCTTAGCCAGTGGTGGGAATTGAACCCCAATTGTTGGCTGTCACTCTGCTTCTCAAACCAGCCATCCAACCCATTATTGACCAATCTCTTGGTTGCCTATCCTAAACTCACCTACTTTGGCTCAATATTAGTGTTGACCTGATTATGATCCTGTGAAGCAGTTTGGGATCTTTTATTATACTACTTCAGTTATGAATGTTGCATAAATGTAAGGTTTCAATACGTAGTCAAGAAGCCTTCATGGGAGGCCGTCCTTTGTTACAAGAGGACTTGAACATAAAAGTAAGGCTGTTACTCTTCAGTTATAATGGGGAGACCACATCTCGAATACTGCGAGCACTTTTGGTCTCCTTGTTTAAGGAAGGATGTAGAAGTGATTTAGAGGAGGTTTACTAGTTGATGCCTGGAATGAGTGTGTTGTCTTATGAAGAAAGGACATGCAGACTGGGCTTGATTCCACTGGAGTTTGGAAGAGTGAGGTGATTGGTGTATTAGGTCCTGAATGGTCTTGTCAACTTAGATGTGGACATGGTATAACCTCTTGTGGGTAAGCCCAAAACTGAAACAAAGAACAGTGCAGCACAGGGACAAGCACTTTAGCCCACCAAGTCTGCACTGACAAATGATGTCTTTCTAAACTAAAATTCTTTTACCTCTATGCAGTCCATATCCCTCTGTTCTCTGCCGATTCATATTTCTGTTAAAACGCCTCGTAAACTTTGCTTTTGTACCTGCCTCCACCAACTCCTCTGGCAGGATATTCCAGGCGCTTATCTTCTGTGTAAAAAAACTTGACTCTCACATCTATTTAAACTTTTACCTTAAACCTTTGTCGCCTAGTAATTGACTCTTCTACCTTAAGAGAAAGACTCTGACTATTCTATCTATGCCTCTCATAATTATGTAAACATTTATCAGGCCAACCCCTCATCCTTTGACATTCAAATGAAAACAAACCAAGTTTGTCCAATCCAAGAGACAATTTTAAAATTAGAGGTCACTTTTCAGGACAAGTATGAGGAAACATTTTTCTCCTGAGAGTTGTGTGACTTTCTACCTCAGAATGTAGTGGGGGCTGGATCGTTGAATATTTTTAAGGCAGAGATGTATGACATGACCACTATCCCACTGTCTCCCTGCAGGCTGTGACTCAGGGCAGTACTTAAAGAATGCTGCACTGTCAGAAGTGATGTTTCACCTGAGACCTGGTCTTCCTCCATTAGTAAATGTAAAAGATCCCACAATGTTATTCGTGGTAATATTGCTGGGGCTATAATCCACAACACTAGGCTAGTGTTCTGGCATCTGGGTTCAAATCCCACCGTGGTAAAAGCAGAAATTCTGGAATTTAGAAACAAAATCTAATCTAAGAGCTGGCTGCTGATTGTGGCTTTTAAAAAAAAACACCCATCTGATTCACTAATGTCGTTTGAGGAAGGAAATTGCCATCCTTACCTAGTCGGGCCTAGATGTGACTCCAGACCCACAGCAATGTGGTTGACTCTTAACACTCCACCCTCACCCTCTGCAATTAGGGATGGGCAATAAATGCTGGTCCATCCAGCACCACCCACATCCCGTGAGCATATTATTAAAAAAGATTGGAGTTCTTCTTGGGGTCATAATACCAGATTATCTGGTCCTTATTACAGTGCAGCTCGTGGAACATTGAAGTACTCAAATTGACTTCCTACATTACAACAGTGACCATAATCACAGTGGTCACAAACTAACATGCTAGGGTTGTTGCCGAGTATGTGAAAACCATTCTGTCAATTTGAAGGAGCCTTCCTGAAGACTGTTAGCAGATTTTGCAACAGTTTTGATGTTCAAGTCACCTGATCTAATTTAATGTTACAGCCTAATGTGGGACAGATTTGAACAATGACCTCTTGGAATTAGGGAATCTGAAGATCGGGGGAAATATAGTGTTGAGAAGAAAGGGCAGCTGTGATCTTATGAAACTCTAGACCAGACCGAAGAGACCATGTAGCCTATTCCTGCTGTTATATCAAATTGTCTTATGGATTATTTGGTGAATATTGTAACAACTGAGTGTGATTGGTGATAGAAGTGAACTTGGGAGATACACATTTTGGTAAGGTCAAAGGACACAAATTATTTCAAAGTTCCATATCCACCAGTGTCATGGACAATTTAACAACAATCCTAGGCCCAGTGTGTCATTATAATTTGGAAACCCTTGTACTACACAATTTTTAAAAAATATTGTTAACTGAAAACAGGGGAAATGAGAATCAGTAAATATATTTAAAAGCGGACATTGATGCAGTCTGGTGATACAATGATTTCTGCCAACCTAGGAGAGTATTGTTTGTGGGTTCTGACAGAGGTTGCTTAGTTTAATAGTTTTACTAATGACCTGGGAGCGAGGAGTTACAATCGGGGTGGCTAGATTTGCCTATGGTACAAAACTCTTGTATATGGCAGACTCTAAAATGCAACACAAAACCATTATTAATGGATTTGAACACACCAGTAGATTGGGCAGACTAGTGACTGATATAAAACAATGCAAAGTGCTCCAAACAGGAGCATTTTGTTCAGCAACAAGGATGTTTCAGTTATTCTTTCATGGGGTGAGGCTGTCACTATCAAGGCTTACATTTGATGCCCATCCCTAGTTATCCTTGACAGCAAGTCAGATTTGCTGTGAGTCTGTGGTCACATATGGACCAGACCAGTTAAGGATGGCAGATTTCAGTGAATTAGGTGGGTCTCTACAACAATCAATTTCATGGTCCATGAATCCCTGATTTATTCATTGAATTTAAACTCCTCCACCTGCCGTGGTGGAACTTGAATCCATGTCCCCAGAAGGTTGGATTATTGCAATGTGCCTTTGGATTGCAAATCCAATGACATTCTCACAAATTCAATGTCACCCTCCTGTAAATAATGTGAAGTTAGAAGGACAGAGATTTTTAAAATATTTAATTGTAGGATGTGGGCATCACTGGTTGGGCCAGCATTTATTACCCACCCCTACTTGCCCTTGAGAGCTAGTGGTGAGGTGCCACCTTGAACCGTTGCAGCCCATGTGCTGTTGGTACAACCACAATGCCTTAAGGGAGGGAATTCCAGGATTTTGACCAAGTGATGGTGAAGGAACGACAATATATTTCCGAGTCACGACGGTGAGTGACTTGGAGGGGAACTTGGAGGTGGCAGTGTTCCTATGTATCTGCTGCCCTTGTCCTTCTAGATGGCAGAGGCCATGAGGGAACCATAAATGTTGGGTGGTTTTTTAAATTTAAATTTAGTGATCACTTTCCTGATTGATTGATTTAAAAGATTTTTCTCTATTGTTTCACCAGAAAATTGTTGGATATCGGACAGTGGACTGTTAAACATCACCACAGTTTCGTTTGGTGACCGAGGCAAGTATACTTGTGTAGCCTCGAACCATTATGGCAGTGTCAATTACACAGTGACTCTGAGAGTCATCTTCACCTCGGGGGATATGGGTGTATACTATATGATTGTTTGCCTTGTTGCATTCACCATTGTGATGATCCTGAACATCACACGCCTGTGCATGATGAGCAGCCACCTCAAGAAGACTGAGAAAGCCATCAATGAGTTCTTCAGGACCGAGGGAGCGGAGAAACTGCAAAAGGCCTTTGAGATTGCCAAGCGCATCCCGATCATCACCTCCGCCAAAACCCTGGAGTTGGCCAAAGTCACCCAGTTTAAGACGATGGAGTTTGCCCGCTACATCGAGGAGCTTGCCAGAAGCGTCCCACTCCCCCCTCTCATCATGAACTGCAAGATGTTCGTGGAGGAGATCATGGAAGCCGTGGGCATGGAGGAGCCAAGCCATATCTACGTGGGAGCTGGACCAGCGAGTCAGGAAATTCCAGATGAGGTGTACACGATACCAAATTCTTTAAAGCGCAGTAACTCGTCAGCAGGGGACTCGGATGAATCATCTTTGCACGAGCAGCCCCAGCACATCGCGATCAAGGTGTCGGTGCACCCTCTGACGGCTGGGGATGAACCGGAGGGGCAGTGCCGACCGGGCGGTGCCCTCCAACCGGAGCAAGAGGCCAAGGAGGCGGTGGCGACGCCAGCAGCCGTCGAAAGTAACCCCCAGGTCGGGCTGACGGTGACGGAGAGTGCCGGCAAGGTTGTGACGGTGGTAACCGAAAAAGCCAACTGCGCCACCTCTGTCTTAGCAGAGAACAGCAACTCTGTGACACCTATGGTGATTGGGAAAACCCCTCGGGTCATATACGAGAGCCATGTGTAGCTGACACACAAAACTGCGGTTCAGCCCTTTAGGCTACCATGCAATGGGTTCGCTGATGAATAAAATTAGCCTTAACTGGAAGACGATCATTGCGGAAGAGCAGACAATTATGATAATGCATGGGTTTCTGTTTAAATTCTGTTGCATTAGGTTATCACTGACTTCGTATTTAGGTGGTTGACATATTTGGGGAAAATAAATTACTTTAAGAGTTTTTATTTTAAAACAAAAAATGAACTCCCACTTCGAAATTCCTTTCAGTAAGATTCTTTTAGGTAAAAGTCACTGTCCATTGAACGATTTAAACTGGCCGTTTTAGCTCACTTCACTGCCTTACACACAGCTGGTCAGTTGTATTATCAGTTGTTACACACAGTTATCACACACATGCTTCGTACTAAAATGTAGTTGACCCAGTAGAATTTCTGTAATCTTTAGAGTAAATTTACAAAGAAATATTCACGCACAAGAAAACTATTTCTGATTTTAGAAAGGGAGAAGGGGCAAAACAGATCACTGGTAAACTACTGGGAATGCACAGCCAATCGATGAGAATGGCATATTTTAGATGGAGGTCACTTTTTTAACGCCTGAGAATTCCTTTTTACAGATTTTAAAAAAAAACTCAAAACACACCTTTCAACACCTCAAAATCTCTTTGAAGCACTTTACAATTTTTTTTGCACATTTCTGATACATAACACACACACACACACACACACACACACACACAGCAGCAGGTTTGTACACAGTAAGCTCCCACAAATTATCAACCTGATTCAGCAATTTGATTCAGGAGTGAATATCGATCCAGCAGAATTCCGTGCTTTTCCAGAGTTTTACAAAAAAAGACTCTGGATTGTCTTTTTGCAGGATTTGAGCACCCATGGCAAGGCCAGCAATTATTGCCCACTCTTCATAGCCTGAATGCTCGGCTAGGCTATTTCAGAGGGCAGTTAAGAGTCAGCCACATTGCTGTGGGTCTGGAGTCACGTGTAGGCCAGACCGGGTAAGGATGGCAGATTTCCCTCCCTGATGTGCAGGCTAGATGGATTAGCCATTGGAAATGCAGGGTCACAGGGATAGAGTGGGTCTAGGTGGGATGCTGTTTGGAGGGTCGGTGTGCGCACATTGCGCTGAATGGCCTGCTTCCATACTGTAGGGAAATTGTATGTGACTTTCTCCGTGTGAAGGAATGTGAGTGGATTGGTTGGGTTTTTCAGCAATAAACAGATCATTTCTGAGGAAGGATGACCGGACCTGAAAAGTTAACTCTGATTTTTTTTTCTTCACAGATGCTGCCAGACCTGCTGAGCCTTTCCAGCAACTTCTGTTTTTGTTCCTGATTCACAGCATCCGCAGTTCTTTCGGGTTTTTAAAAAAATAAAAGGATCGTAATTCATGTGGTCACCATTATCGAGACAAGCTTTAAACGGTGCCAATGATGGGGTGGCACAGTGGCTCAGTGGTTAGTGCTGCTGCCTCACAGTGCCAGGGACCCAGGTTCAATTCCACCCTCAGGCGAATGTCTGTGTGGAGTTTGCATGTCCTCCCTGTGTCTGCATGGGGTTCCTCTGGGTGCTCCAGTTTCCTCCCACAGTCCAAAGATGTGCAGGCTAGATGAATTGGCCATGCTAAATTGCCCATAGTGTTCAGGGATGTGTAGATGAGGTGGATTTATAGGGGGATGGGTCTGGGTGGGATGCCCTGTGGGTCAGTGTGGACTTGTTGGGCCAAAGGGCCTGTTTCCACACTGTAGGGATTCTATGATCTATGATTTGAAATTCCCCTATCTGCAGGTCTGAGCCATTTGTTTGGAGACTGTCTTCCATTTTACTAGCCACCTGAGAGGGCAGGGAGGAACATAGTTGACTGTCACATTTGACAACAGGGCATCACTTCCCCAGTACAAAGCTGTGTGTCTGGATCGAGTTTTGTGCAGTAATAGTGCTATCCACTGAACCATAGCTGACAATGCAATGGGAAAACAAATGAGGAAAAAAAAGGGGAAGGTTTTTTCTCGTGTTCAAACCCCATCATGCTAGTGTGAGAATTTGAGCTTATTACGGTTTAAAAAAAGATGTTATTAATAGTTTGTTAGTTCAAACCCCATCATGCTAATCTGAGAATTTGAACTCTTTGGAAATAAAACAAATAACCCAAGTTATTAAGAGTTTGGCATCAGTAAAAGTGACTCCAATGTTGCATTATTAGTTGTCACAGACATGCTGCATGCTAAAATGTAGTTGGGCTGGTAGAAGTTTTGTAATCTTTAGTGTAAATTTTCAAAACATGCAAAGAATCTCATTTCTGACTGTAGTTACACACCTAACCAGATTCACATGGGTTCTTCAGGGAAGAGGTCATGTTGACCGATTTTTATGAATGTGACATCAGTCCTGTGCCAATCTGTTTATCTCCACTCTGCCCATCTGATGTGACCTAGCAAACTGTTCAGTCTAAAGAAATGCTTCCCTAACGTTCTGACCTCACTTTAATGTCTCACAACCTCAGAATTCGGGTGACTGCAGAGTGAAAAAATGGTCAGGGGAAAGGGGTTGGGGACAGGAGTTGTTGAGAATGGGGGACAGGTTTCAGTGAGTGGGGACGGGAGGGGAGGAAGAGCTAGTTCTTGTTGTTGCAATGGGGTGAGGAGATGTGTTTGCAATTTTAACATGGGTGCATTGCTAGTAAGGCAGACGGGAAAACAAAACAAATGCACTGGCTTTTTTTCTCGCAGCAACAATTGAACCCCAGACAGTAGTCCATTAGATCAGACCAACGAATAGAAAATGTAAGAATTTAAAGGGACCCAACCGCGGTTAGCTTTCAGCCCAAGTTCCATGTTAAAATCTCATCTTGAAGCACAGTTTGGGAAGCCCTGGTCAAAAGCAACTCAGGACCAGCAATTAGTTCTGATGGAATTTTTGATGAGTGTTTAAAAAAAATTAAAATTCATATCTGATCAAAGGCCACCGAACACAATATTTGCTTCAGCTCACAGCTGTGGTACATCGGCAATTTCTAGTCCTAATTGGTAATTTAATCTCTGTTAGTTGTCAACTGAAGTTCTAAAATTCCTGCCAGTTGAGAATTGCCACGTATCAGTGCAGAGTCCTTCAAGGATGTTATGACATCAGGAATGCTAAGTGTAGACAGTCAAAGTATTGTGCAACTCACTAACTTCATCCAGTCTCTCTCCTGTGGGATGCCAAGAAACCAAGGAGTCATGTCATCCATAGTGACCGCTTTACATTTACGTGGAGCCCTTAATATAACAAAACATCCCAAGAAGCAAAAGAGGAAACAAAGATTGACACTGAGCCACAGAATGGGATCTTAGGTCAGGGAACAGAAGTCTTGGTCAAGAAAGAGTATTAGAAATGAGAAAAGAGGGGTACAGAGACATTTAGGGGCTAGGCAGCTGGAGGCATCCCCAATAATAATTAGGATGGAATTGACAAGGGGCTGAGATTGGCAGGAGGTATGAGTTGTGATGCAGAAGAAGGCAGACGAGAATAATGTTGTAGGCTGGAAGAGTTTATAATGGGCAAACAAAGAGTTTACAAAAGGCTGAGGCCATAGAAGGATTTGAAGACACAAATTTTGGTCCTGAATATTGGAATCTCCCTTCTTCATTGGAATCTGAGGCATCTCCTTGCGCAAGATGGTGACCCCAAATCATTTTGTCATTAATCAATAGCTTAACCCAAAATCAAATCTGTCTTCACTTACTGACATGGCATCGGATATGGCTGTTCCCCATCATTGACCAATTCTTCATCATCCAGCAGAGATCGGGAGACTGTCATCGGTTTTGAATATACTGGAAAAGTTGCTTAATAAGGTTGTCCTAGATGGGAATAGTGGTGGTGGTGCTTGGGGAAGTAGGTTAATTCAACAGCTGAAGGTATGATGAACCAATGGTCTCTGACAATGATCCAAATGTACCTTGTTGCAGAACCATTCAATTAGACACACTCCGTATTTTGATGCCTCCAATCTTTGAGGTTGTTGGAACATTGTTGTAAAGGGGGCCATCAGCATTTAATAATATTCTAGTAGTATCTTGAGCTGAGCTGTCGAAGAATCCCTACAGTGTGGAAAGAGGCCATTCAGCCCATCAAGTCCTGTACCAACACTCCGAAGAGCATCCCACCTAGCCCAGCAACCACCCTATCCCTGATACCCTGCATTTCCCATGGCTAACCCACTTAGCCCGCGCATCCCTGAATGCTATGGGCAATTTAGCATGGCCAATCCACCTAACCCGCATATCTTTAGACTGTGGGAGCAAACCGGACCACCTGGAGGAAACCCACACAGACACGAGGAGAATGTGCAAACTTCACACGGAGAGTCACCTGAGGCTGGAGTCGAACCTGGCTCCCTGGCACCATGAGACAGCAGTGCTAACCACTAAACCCTATCACTGTTGTGGAAGGGGAGAGAGAGGGTGAGGGCTGAAGTGCGGGAGATGGGTCAGACCCAGCTGAGGGCCCTGGCAACCATGGGTGGTGGGGAATCCTTGGCTGAGGAAGAAGGTGGACGTTTTGGAAGCTCCCTTGTCGAAGTTGGCATCATCAGAGTAGATGCGACGGAGATGGTGGAACTGGGAGAACGGAATGGAATTTACTCCCTGTAAAGACTCTATTTCATTCTCCCAAGGCCTGGAAAGCAAACCTCCATTCCCAAAGCCAATTTGGGATGGTCAATGATTGCAGGCCTAGGCAGCGAAAGCCATATAATGTGAGAAAGTAAACCATTAATAATATGATGCAAATGGCTCTTTCGCTCCCTGAAACCGTTATTCTAAAAGGATCAGTCAAATGTAGCTGCACACTCTGTGTATCCCTGTGCAGCATCTATCATGTTTGGAAATGCTGAGATTGAAGAAGCATCATATTGGACTCAAAATGTTAACTCCGTTTCTCTCTCTCCTCAACAGATGCTGCCAGACCAGCTGAGTTACTCCGGCATCCTCTGTCTGGTGAAAGTGCATTGTTTCCAATGTTTTCAAGAACAGTGTCTGAATAAAACTTAGCATAACTTCTCTGTCCTGAGGTTCAGTGTGGATGCCCCATTTTTCCATCAGGATGGGGGAGGTGTTGGTAAGGTTTGGTGACTGCACCCGAGCCCCTGGGAGGAGGGAGGTGTGGGCTGTAGCTGGTGGGAGTACATCCCACTCTCAGTGGTCAGATCCACACCGCTCCCGCCAACTCGCCTTCCCCCGTCAAGATACCTGGCCTCGGGAGCTTTATGCAGTTTGCTGCATTGTCCCAATTCCTTTTGATATTCTGAAACAAACACAGAGAATACTGACGAAACTCAGCAGGCCTGGCAGCACCTGGGGAGAGAAAATCTGAGTTAACTCTTCTCTAGAACTGTTTATATCTTCCTGCTGCTGCCATCCTCTGCACCCACTTTTTAGACCATAAGATTACAGGGGCAGAATTAGGCCATCCGGCCCATCGAGTCTGCTCTCCCATTCGATCATGGCTGAGATGTTTCTCGACCCCATTCCCTTGCCTTCTCCTCGTAACCTTTGATCCCTTTACTAAACAAGAACCTATCCATCTCAGTCTTAAATACTCTCAATGACTTGGCCCCCACAGCCCTCTGCGGTAATGAGTCCCACAGATTCACCATCCTCTGGCTGAAGAGATTCCTCCTCATCTCAGTTCTAAAGGGTCATCCCTTCACTCTGTTCATTTATTTATTCCACTATCTCACCTTTTTTGCCTTTCTCATCATCACCCCCTTGATTCATTTAGTGACTCCTGCCTGTCCCCTCTCTTCACCCACTTTGCTCCTTTTCCGTGCATTTGACTAAAAGTGGCTCGCCAATAAGTCCTGATGAAAGTTCAGCAAACTGAAATGTTAACTCTTGTTTCTCTCTGGGCACCTGCCACTTGACTGTATGAGATGGTTTCTGGTTTCATTTTCCTTTTTTTTGTTCCTTTTTTGAATCCATCCAGAGTGTTGTTACACACAGCAGAACATTTTATGTCCCCTTCACCAAATTGTGT